TGTTATCGTCCCGTTTTTTCTCATCAATTACCGAGAAAATTGCATTTTCGAATTTTATTTTCATTTCTTCGATCTCCATAGCAAAAATGAAAAGAGTAAAATTAAACAAAAATGTATGAACTCACTGAAATCGATGTCAGAACAAAAAGTTTACGGTTATGTTGTACTGGATGTGAAGTGAACGTGAACTGCGCGCCTACAAATCGGTCGACTTTGAAGGTAATTTCTAKAGATGGATACTAGATACATGTTATCGCTATCTTAAGATAGTACTTAATAGRTACCTAAAGTACGGCCGTCGACATWTYAGAGATTTATCAGCTTTATCGTACGTACTTATTATATCTAGATAAATCGATTTTACAACGCAAAAATATTTTATATTTTTGTCAATTATGCCTGAAAAATTCCGGAGTTATTGTCATTTGTCATTACCTAGGAGATATTTCTAATTGCATCATTGACTGATTATAATAKACATTAACGATATTTACTAGTCAATATCGTGTACTGCCTAATTTGATCGGAAATATCGTTATTGACTAGTCATTAACATTAATTCCTTAATTTACGTCTTTGCTGGTAACATAGGTATATATTATTGTTAATGATTCATTCCTGTGTAAAAAATTATTAATGTTTAAGGCCATGTCGTGATTGTGGTCATATTCATCAGGGCCATGCGTATGTTCCTCCAACTCAACAATTGTTCCATCCGCAAACATTTTAGCAGAGCCTTTGCAATATTTGGTTTTGCGGATCAAATATCTATTCAATATTAAAATATAAAATCATAAAAATTGAATATAATATTATGATGATCTAGATTATATTTCATTTAAACTTACCGAACACTTTTGTTTTTATGGATGCCTCCATTATTTTTATATACAAAATCATTTTTATTCATATTTATTAATTTCAAATAAAATTAATCCAAAAGTCTTCATACACTGAATAAAATATAAATACTAAACTCTTATAATATATTATCAGTTACAGTTACGGCAACTAATGCGTACTTATTTCGATATATTAGAACTGAATAATATTCTTTATTGAATAGTTTATTGATCCATTATCGATATCGTCTATTCAGCAGCAATTATTGGAAAACACAATTTAAAAATAACCTATAATTGATTTTTCATCATCACGCACACGGTTTTTTGCACCGTATATTAAGAGGACGGCTGCATACGAATTGCGTCCCGGGTGTTTTTTGAGGTCATACTAATTGCGTCCCGAATTGAATAAAACAATATTTCCCTTCCTATTTTTATGCAGACTTAGGACTGTCTGTAGTAATAGTTACTACTACATGTAGGTTAAAAATAWTGTTTTTGCTTAATATATTAACAACACCACCGTTCTAAATTATTTTTTAAGTAGGTACTTGTGGAAGCAAAATCTGTTCACAACAATCACAAATAAATCCCTTTGTTTTTCGCTAAACATAGTTTTAATTTCACTCACCATAGTTATTAAAAGTTAAAACTTGGTTTAAAAAAAGTGAAACGTGTGAATAACTGAATAAGTGAACCGTTTACACTGCAATAATTGTGTTTGTCTACAGAACGTAACTCACTATAAAATTATCAAAGTTTTAACATAGTCGTTTTTATTAAATCTATAATAAATGGACAATAACCAATAATTTCGCTTTTTAAGATATTACAGGTAATAGGGACGCAATTCAGACGTGCTCAAGGAAAACCCGTGATGCAATTAGTATTATACCTTTTTATACCTTTTTATACGGGACGCAATTCGTAAGCAGCGAAGAGGACGCTATACCCTACTTAAAAATTAGAATATTGTAAAAAATCTATGTGAGAACACAATACACAAATAATGTTCTTACCTAAAAGTTGGAAAATAGGTCAATTCACTCAAATATCAAAACTAAAAGCATTTTTGGAACTGTTCTATACTTTTATTTTAGTCCATTAAAATTAAATACTTAGATAAGTACGTATAGATAACTAGATTTTTATCTGGATACAGATACAATAATAATAAGGCCTGTAATTTTAATGCCCTTAAAAAAAATGTTGGTTTATATGACGTATAATAAAAACCTCTCAGTAAAACCATTCTAATCTGTATAATATAAATAGATACATGCGTATAAAATATAAATTCAAGCATATACATTAAAATAAATAATTACATACTATAATTTAATAAAATTATAAAATGTACTTTTTGGAGTAGATTTGGGGAATAATCTGGTATCTGCGTATACGTAAAATATTCAAAATTGCAAATTCATAAATTATAAGTTATAACCTTGGAACTAAGTCTGACCGACAAATTCTGATTGCACCATTGTACTAACTCGTGGCAGTATACAATATACCAATAGGTTTCCGAAAAAATTTCTAAAAATTGAGCTAAACTGGCTATTATTTCAATATATTTGTGAACTACAGATCAGTGTTTATTATGAAGGTTAGCTTAGCCCCCTGATATTAGATGAAATATGAACCTGGTTTTAACTTAGTGGCTAATGTAAGAAATGCACTTTCCGGTATATCTTTAAGATTATTAAAAGGAAAATTTTTTGGACATAAAAGTGAAAGATCAAAATATAAGCTATTATTTTTTACAAACCTAGTATTCATGCTGTTAACCACTGTGTCCAATACTGTATTAAATACTTCTATTGTGAACTTTTTTTCTGGAGTTGTAATAAGGTCTTCTTCATTTTCATAGTTAAAAGTTTTCTTTTTTTTGGCCATTCTTTTTTCTTTAAATGTTGATTGAATTTGTTCGACATTTAATTTATAACTAATAGCCATAGTTTCAATTTTGTTGTTTGTATTAGTTATAAATGTATTACAAACTTCTTTGACATTTTCCACACCACGTTAAGTTCCTTTAAGATTTTCTAAAGCACTTGTAACCATTTGCTGAGATTTTAAAAGATCCAATTTATTTGATTGTAAGTATCTTGATAATGGCCCAGTGATTTGGAATATTTTCATATACATATTAGCAACTAAAATAGTTTCATATTTAATAAAAGATGAAATAAAATTACTTGCTTTTGACCTCACATCTGGATTTAAATTTGGATTTTGTAAAATTTTCGTTAAAACAAGTAAAAGGTCACTCAACATACCATTATCATCCAAACTATTATATGTACCAAATAATTTCTTGATCGCTGTTTCTTTAGCTGTCCACCTTGTTTCACATATTGCTTATAATCGTTTGTAAATATTATCTTTTTCACTAATTTCTTAAAGACTCGTTATTCAGCAGATAAGCAGCTTCATTTCTTTTCTCTCTTATACTAAGACCACATTTTCCGATTAATTTTATTACATTTACTAGCTGTCATCGGAAACTCGGAGGCCCGTTGGACTCGCTGAAAGTGGATGTCGATTTTGGGGTCAAGTTGTTGGATTTATAAAAGTCGAATGTTTATGGAGGTGATTGAGGTTAGGATTTGTGATTGTGATAAGAATTGGTGATATTGATAAGGCTTGGAGGTTTGGTGGCAATGTTTGAAAGTTTCAGTTTCAAGCAATCCGCTTCGGCCGTTGTGAGTTGGTTGGAAACAATCCCCTAGTGTTTTACCTGTGCTCTCTCGTATGTAAAAATGTGTAGGCCGATTGTCTAGCTATCAATCATCAACAGTGTAAGTCGATAGCTGACTGGGCAATCCACTCTTGCCTTATTTGTACTGCCTTCATTTGTAAAGTGATTTAAAAGTGTAGAGTCAATAGTTTGGTGTATGTAATTGTCTAGCTATCAGTCATCAGCGATATAAGTAAATAAATAACCGAAATAATATGGTCAATCGTATGTATTTTTTTTTACCACGATTCTTTTTGTTTGAGGTTCTACATTATTAATCTAAAAATTTAAATATGACGCCAGGACGATGGAACTTTTTGTCCCCCTTCTCACGACGGGCAATATCTGCCTGAAGTCGCCCGCGAACAGGATCGGTTTACCGCCGAACGGTGTTTGTGATCCCATGTGTCATCGTCGGTCAGCGTTCCAAACGGCAATCCGAACGTCGAGTGCACAGTCATGCCACCGTCCATGAGCGACGCGGCTATCCCTGTGTATGCCACACACAATACGGATCGTCCTTGATTGCGGAGCGTCTATATGAGGCAACCGTAAAGCGTCGTCTTACCGGTACCTCCGGGTCCATCGACGTAGAATGTTTTTGCCACGTCTCGGTTGTCGTCGACTGCCGCCATGACGCGGTCAAACACTGTTCTCTGTTCGTTATTCTTGTCTGTCACTTGTTGTGCTCAGCGAGCCACCGCGTCTATTACACCGAACAGTTGATCATCCTGTTCCGGT